TTGACCTTGGAAGGTTGACCATCTCAGTTTCTCCTGGATGTTATGTGAACAAGACGCTCTGCTCCCCCCTCCTCTAACCTGCTCCATTCCCCAAGGACATGGACCCGTGTCAGAGCTCAACCGAGCCGGCTGATAAACACTGCACCATCTCTTATCAGGACTATGGTTGGGGGGGGGGGGGGCGCCAATGGCTGTGTCGCTCACTAGGGTGGCCTGTGCTGGGACCCCACCCTCACACACTCCACATGCATATGTCTCTATGGCCCTATTTACACGGACACGATGTGGGAAATGTAGGTTTTTTCATATGTTAATTAGAGGAAAAGATTTGACACGGATGGATTTTGTGTTTACATGCATCCGAAGGATTCCCCCCGCCCCACTGAATCCTCTGTAGTTATCATGCCGGGTCATTAGATGGCGCTGTGAGTTTTGTACCTTCACCTAATGCGCATGCGGCCCGCTCCTTTCCTGTGAGCTAAAAGTTCATCTAACAACAACGATGTAACAAGTTAAAGCTGGATTTTAGATGAGAGTCGACAGACTTGACGCCAAGCAGGACGCTTCGTCTAACAGCTCCACACCGGTCGCTGAGTGGACCAGAACCGAGTCGACGATGTCGGACTTTGCTCCGTGATCATCAGTAGCTGATTTACAGCAGGTAAATCAACGTTCTTAATAATGTTAGTTTGTGTTTACTTCGGTTACACAACAACCAGCCGAGTTTTTATTTTTCCTGAAAGAAGAAGAAGCTGTCCTCCCACCAGGCGGACTGGTTCTGAACGAGGCTTGGCCCAGATGAACTGCAGGAGGACGTTGAAGAGAGAGATGTTGGATGAACTATTTATTTAAAATTCCCCTCAGTTCTTTTATTCAATCCATTCAATGTTTTAATCTGCATTAATCAAAGGAGTGACTTCCTGAACGAGCCAGATGAACAACGTGGGACATCCAGGATGAAAACAAGAGTCCAGTTCATTCATGCAGTTTACTGTTAACTTGTTTTAATAGTGTGTTCAGTTTAATTATCAGTGTTTGTGTGACATACAGTTTGTGGTGTTGAATAAATAAATACAAATTAAACCTGATGTCTTCATTTTCAACTTTAGTGTTCACGCTACATGTTTACATCATTTAAAATTTGAACTACATAATGTCCAGAAAGCTTCATTTAGCTCAGAGCTTCATTATATCTCACACTAACATAAATACTGTTTATTATTATTAAACTTGTTATTTAGCACATTTAGATGTTCTTGTGCAGCGCGGCGACGTGTGCACGTGGCGACGTGTGCACGTGCCTCGTTCTATAAACAGCGACATCAGACCTGGATCAGACTGTGTCTCTTCCAACACAGATGTTGGTCACAGCAGCTGGACTCTGACGTAGATTAACTACGAGATTAAAATATATTCCATCAGTCGAGGTTGAAAACAGTGTGTCGCCGCCATGTTGATAGAAATATAGCGTCTGTCCGTGCATGCGTGTGCACATGTGGTTTAACACAAAGTGTCAGCGGGAGATGTTTCCATGATCAGCGGGGGGTCTGAGAAAAACCTCCACTCTGGAAGGTGGGTTCAGAAACATCTGGATTCAAAGAGGGGGGGGGGGGGGGCACTGGTGTCGTGTAGATGATCAGCAGAACCTCAGAGAGGAAGCTGAGGATGCTCTGAAAATACACGCCGTGTAAACGGCCCCTATGTGTGTATCTTGCTTTTTTTCCAGCCACAGGCTGTTTCCTGCACGGACGTAGTGTGAGATATGATTTGTTTTTTTTTACCTCCTCTTCCCTTGTGTTCTCCTTTTTCTTATCTAACTGAAAAGGAAGCGCCTCTCAGTGAGGCTGCAGCCTCAGACACCCCGTCCACCCTGTCTCTTGTTTGTTTGTGTTTCTTCGAATGGGCTGTACTGAAATGTAATTTTTGTTGTGCTCTGTGCAATGACAACAAAGCTAATTCTGATAAATGATTAAAAAAAATTATTTAAAAAATCTGTAAAATATATAAATAGAAAGCCAGCGGTTTCAGCGTTGAGCAGCAGGGGGCGCTGCAGGATCACAGTCCTACTCCCCAGCAAAATTCAGAAATGAGGACGATTAAGACTTGTGCACAGGACTCACTGGTTCTGGTTCTTCTGCAGGAGATCAAGGTGGCCCAGCAGCGGGCTCAGAAGTACTCGGCGGTTCCAGACATGTGGTCCAAGTGTTTGCTGGGTCACTGTTACGGTCTGTGGTTCATCTACCTGCCCACCTTCGTACGAGCCGAGCCCTCCAAGGTCCGGGCCCTGCATACGGCCTACGAGGTTCTGAAGCACATGGAGACTCGCAAGGTGGTTCTGCCAGATGAGGTGAGCCGAACCGTGTCCGACCTCACTGCTGGGTCTCAGTTCAACCCAAGTTAGTAGTTCATTTGACCTCCAGGAGTCCCACAAGGCTCCGAACTGGGCCCAGTTTTATTTTTGCTTTTTAATTGTAAATAATTCAAATTCAAATTATTAATGCTCAAATGAAAAAGTTTCAAATTGTGACCTGAGGTACAATCACGGTTAACTATAGTGAATGTAGGAGAACCTCAAATTCTCCCTTCTTTACACAAATAAGTTTGTAAGAATTAACAAAAGCATTGCTTACAAGTAAGATTCAGTTTATTTGGTTCACAAGAAAATAAAAATTGCCCTGGTCTAAGGCCTAATGTACTCACAATAAAATCCTAAATAGTTTATCATTCAGAATAAAAATAAGAGCTAAAACAGAGGGCTATGCTGGCCCTGGGAACCACTTAGCTGAATGTAGTTAAAACCAATTTAAAACAACTTGGATTGTTTGGGGGAGAATTAAAAAGCAAAATAAATAAATACACCTAGGTGTTCCCCAACAGAAATAAAATTCCCCTGCCACTAATCTCTTCAGTCTAATAAAAACAGCTTTGAATCCAGGGACAGCATAGGTCCCCTTTAAAATAAGCCCGAGGGCTGAACACTAAAATTTCCCCTTCCTTTACCCAAAATCAAATCTGGGAAATTGTCTCAATTAATAATAAAAACTACTGAGACTAAACACTAATTAAAACCAAACTGAAACAGTAGCAGGCCAGCCTACACAGAGAAACAACAAACCAAGTTAGACCAGCACCCTAATTAACCACTCACAAAAATGAGAATGATTAGTTTTATCTGCTGATAATTGAAACCAGTCATTGTGCGCTCCTCGTGCGTCACTCCTTCTAAAGAGGAGCTAACCCTTAAAACCAAAAGGAGCAATTACGATAAAACAAAGTTCCAAAAAGGGGCAACATTCAAAACGGACGTACCTCTGCCAGGACCAGTGTCAAATCAGCTCATATCAGCACGGGATCTGATCCTCAGCCATACCTGCTCTTAAATCCATGCACCTGCCCTCATAACGAGCCAGCTGCGCTCTGTCACAGTGTCCTCCATATATCAAGTCAAGTCAGATTTATTTATAGAGCACATTTAAAACAGAAACTGTTACCAAAGTGCTTAACAAAAATATCACATCATCTGATAAAAAGTAGCAAGATATATTTACAGCACATGGAATAAAAATATAAAACTGAAAACATAATTAGAAACAATGAAACACTAAATCAGGTCACGTTGTGTCAAAAGTCAAGGAAATAAAAACAAAAAGCATAAACTCAGTCAGAAACAATGAAATACTAAATCAGATCAGATGACCTTGTGTTAAATAGGAATAATAACAAAAGCATAAACAGAATCAGCATCAATGAAAAACTAGATCTAAATCTGATCACCCTGTGTTAAATGTCAGTGAGTACAGATGTGTCAGTGAGTACAGATGTGTCAGTGAATACAGATGTGTCAGTGAGTACAGATGTGTCAGTGAGTACAGATGTGTCAGTGAGTACAG